TACATACTGACATCCATACATACATTCATACAGGGGTGGACTGACCAGTCATGGTCCGAGGGCCCGGCCGGGAGGGGGGCCCGAAGCCAGGGCAACCTTCAGGGGGCCCGGCGGCAGGGCTGGATTGTGGGCGGCATCTGGGGAGTGCAGAAGAAGGTGCCACCGGTTGCACACTCTGAGGGGGCCGGCCGCGTTTCATGCTGGAGCCGCCGGGCCGGGGGGCAGCCTCGCCGGTCCGGCAGCACTGCTCTCACTAACGCTGAGGGCTGAAGGAGGAGGAGCATGTCTCTCTATCATGCTCCCTGCGGTTCCCACAATTCCCAGTACAGGATGTGGGAACCGCAACGGAGCATGAGAGAGAGACATGCTCCTCCTCCTTCAGCCCTCAGCGTTAGTGAGAGGAGTGCCGCCGGACCGGCGAGGCTGCCACCCGGCCCGGCAGCTCCAGCATGAAACGCTGCCAGCCCCCTCTGACTTGAGACACAGAGGGAGAAAGAGGGCGAATAGAGAGATGGGGAGGGGGGAGAAAGAAAGGGAAGAATGAGACACAGGGGGAGAAAGAGGGGGAATAGAGAGATGGGGAGGGGGAGAAAGAGACAGAGAGGGAAGAATGAGACAGGGGGAGAAAGAGATGGGGAGGGGGAGAAAGAGACAGAGAGGGAAGAATGAGACACAGGGGAGAAAGAGGGGGAACAGGAGAGATGGGAGGGGGAGAAAGAGAGGGAAGAATGAGACACAGGGAGAAAGAGACAGAGAGGGAAGAGATGCAGAGGGGGGAGAAAGAGACAGAGAGAGATGGGAGGGGGGAGAAAGAGACAGAGAGGGAAGAATGAGACACAGGGGAGTAAGAGAGGGGGAATAGAGAGGATTGGGAGGGGGGAGAAAAGAGAGGAAGAATGAGACAGGAAGGGGAGAAGGAGGGGAATAGAGAGATGGGGAGAAAGAGACAGGAGAGGGAAGAATGGGAGACACACGGGGAGAAAGAGGGGAATAGAGAGGATGAGGGGGGAGAAAGAGAAGGAAGTAAGGAGGACACAGGGGGAGAAAAAAAGGGGAATAGAGAGATGGGGGGGAAAGAGACAGAGAGGGAAGAATGAGACACAGGGGAGAAAGAGGGAATAGTGAGATGGGGAGGGGAGAAAGAGAGGGAAGAATGAGACACAGGGGGAGAAAAGGGGAATAGAGAGTTGGGGAGGGGGAGAAAGAGAGGGAAGAATGAGACAGGTGGAGAAAGAGATGGGAGGGAGAAAGAGACAGAGAGGAAGAGAGATGTGGGGGAGAGAGACACAGGGAAAAGGGGGGGAGAAAGAAACAGTGGAAGAGAGAGAGACAGGGAGAAAGGAGAGAGACACACAAGGGGAGGGGGAGAAAGAGGCAGAGGGGTAAGAGAGACTGGGAAGGAGAGGGGAGACATAGACACAGGAGCAGTGAGGGGAGAAAGAAACATACAGAGGGACGGGGGGGAGACAAAAAGGCACACAGAAGGGCTGTATATATCACTGGTGGATCCAGGGGGCAACGGGGCAATTGCCCCCCCTCCCCTGTCCGCAGGCACCGTGCGGGCAGCCGGCAGGGGAGGGAGGAAGAGATGGCCCGGGAGCTCAGCCCCACACACCCTACACATTCACACACTACACCCCCCCACACACACTGAACCTTTCACACACACTGCACCCCTCACACATTGCACCACTGCTCTTATACCCAACTACAGCCCCATATCCCAGCAGACCGCAGGTAAGTTGTCAAACTGTTCTTAAACGGTTTGACTACTTACTCTGGGAGGGGGGCCCGGCCCTCCTGGCACCATAACCACTACACAGAGCAGTAGTGGTTATTGTGCATGGATTATTTCTTTAAATAATCTACAAGTGCCCCAGTAGCCAGCCAGCCCACAGGCCGGCCAGCCAGCCAGCCAACCCACAGGCTGGCCAGTAGCCAGCCAGCCCACAAGCCACCAGTTAGCCAGCCCACAGGCCAGCCAGGCCAGTAGCCAGCCCACAGGCCTACAGCAAGCCACAGGCTTACAGCCAGCAAGCCCACAGCCTGCCAGTCGCAGCCAGCAAGCCACAGCCTACCAGCCGCAGCCAGCAAGCCACAGCCTGCCAGCCGCAGCCAGCAAGCCCACAGCCTGCCGGCAGTAGCCAGCAAGCCCACAGCCTGCCAGCCGCAGCCAGGAAGCCCACAGACTGCCAGCCAGCAACAGTAATTAAGGTAAGCGGAGCCAACTTGGCCTAGGTATGAGCGAGCTATGTTGTGTTACTATATTGTGAATAGGAACCAGAGTGTTTGAGAGACCCCCCTCCAGGCCCCATTAGACTCCATTGTAGTCTCTAATGGGGCCTGGAGGAGATTCTTTCTAACACACTCTCTAAAGGACACTGAGATAGCCCCTGCTAGAATGACCCCCCCTCCATGGCCCATTAGCCCTCAATTGTAGTCTCTACTGGGGCCTGGAGGCAACTGTTTCCAGCAGGGGCTATCTAATGGACGCTGAGATGGCCTCTGTTAGAAAGACCCCCTTCCAAGCCTATTAGACTCCATTGTAGTCTCTATAGCTCCTTTGGATTGTGAACACATACACTATTACATCATATTCACATGTATTTGTCACTTCTATATTACATGTTTCTTTATAAGATTTTTTAGATATACTTTATACTCAGTTGGATGCCTCTAGTCAGCAAGGCCCAGCAAGGTCCAGCGTGAGGGGTCAGCAAGGCCCAGCGTGAGGAGTAGCGCAGGTGCTTCTGAGTCTGAGGTGAGTTTGTGGATAGTTCCGTTGTGGGAGACGAGTAGGGATCTTGGCGTGCCCCATCTATACGCCGCCCCTGCGGAGCGCAGGCGGCTAGTGAGTGAATGCAGCGATTTACCCCTTTGGAGTGTGGCTTTGCTTAGATCTTGATAGAAGGTTAGCTGCGATTCTTCAAATAGCAGTGGGGTTTTGCCCCTCACTGTTGCCATGATATGGCCCTTGTCTTGATGTGTGTAGCATCGGAGGATGACATCTCTGGTAATTAGGGCCACGACTTAGTGATGGTAGGCAGCTGGTATAGTCCAGCTATTGCAAAGAAGCAATAAGTCTCCTCATATAGTGGGATAATTCCTCCGTAGTGATCTCTGTGGGTACGCCGCAGATTTTAAGATGGTTACGGCGCTACCTATCTTCTTGCGCGGTCATTTGCAGTGTCATGTTCTACTGAGTAGTTTGTAGTTGAACCATTGCATCTTTCATTTCGGCTAATTCACTGCGGAGTTTCCCATTGACCCCTTCAGTGATGTTAGTTCTGTCACTAAGCAGCTGAATGTTTGTTTTTAGGGAGGCCACATCTGCAGTTAGGAGCCTCTGGATTTCCAGCAGTGTGTTAAACAAGTTGTATAGGTCCTGTTTTGTAGCAAGGGCTGTGCCTCCAGAGATGCCCCTGGTCATGGACTGTGTGTCCCACTGTGTTGCTGGAGCAGGCGTCTAGCTTGGTGAGTTAGGGGTTGTTGAGGAGTCAGGGCCATCTGTGGCCACCATTCTAGGTGGTACCCACGGGCGTAGGAAATCATCTGGGGGGGACAGATAATGCAGAAATCCCCCCAGGTCCGCCGGCCGAAGTGGAGAGCAAAAATCACTTGTCAGACTGACAAGTGATGTTTGCCGTCCCCCTGACAGGCTTGCTGCGGCTCCATAATGGAACTGCACGCAGTGTACACTGGGAGGGGGACCGCCTCCCGCTCTGCATAAGAGCGCCGGGTGTCACGTGACTACCCGGCGCTCAGTCTGACACCGTGCGCTGCTTGAAGAGGTCCCCCTCCCCTGCTCTGTGCGGTGAAACGGCAGGGAGGGGGACAACAGTGTGCAAGGGGGAGAGTGGAGCCGGCATCATTATAAGCTCAGATGCCGGCTCTGAAAAAAAAAAGCAGTTGCCCTGCCAAGTATTTAGTATGGAAGGGTTAGAGGGGAGATATAATTTGGGGAGGGAGGTGGGTAAAAAAATGAATGGAAGGGGTTAGGGGCTACTAATCGGAATGGAGGGGGGTGGAAGGGTACTAATAGGGGGAGAAGAGGGTAGTAATATGAATGGAGGGTGTGGAGGTACTAAAATGAAAGGAGGGGGCTAGAGGAGGTACAAATATGAATGGAGGGGAGTAAGAGGGGGTATTAATATGAATGGAGGGGGGTACTAATATGAATGAAGGGGTAAGGGGGCTACTAATATGACTAGAGGGGGTGGGGCTGTGGGGGTAGTAATATGAATAGGAGGGGGTAGTAATATGAATGGAAGCGGTATGGGGGTTAGTAATATTAACGGAAGGGGTATAGGGGGTAGTAATATGAATGGAAGCGGTATAGGCAGGGCCGGCGCGTCCATAAGGCGGCACAGGCGGCCGCCTTAGGGCGCACCGGCTCTGGGGGCGCAAAATTCCAGTGACCGGCAGGAGGGAAGTGCTCCCTCCTGCCAGGTCACCTCCTGGATCCCCGGCGCGGCGTGCGGATGAATTGGATGCCGAGGGAGCTCTGATCTCTCTGATCTGCTCCCTCGCAGGCTGCTGACTGATGACGTCATATTCCGGCTCCCGCGGCATCAGTAAACAGCCTGCGAGGGAGCAGATCAGAGAGATCAGAGCTCCCTCGCCACCTCGGAATCCAATTCAGCCGCACGCCTCCCAGCAGCCCCACTGGACCACCAATGAGAGACCCACGCCAGCTCTCCAGGTAGGGAGGCTGGGTGGGAAATTTAAATTTAATTAAGATTATTAATTTCTGTGTGTGTGTGTGTACATGTGAGTATGTGTGTCTGTCAGTGTGTGTGTGAGTATGTGTGTCTGTCAGTGTGTGTGTGAGTATGTGTGTCTGTCAGTGTGTGTGTGCATGTGAGTATGTCTGTCAGTGTGTGTGTGAGTATGTGTGTCTGTCAGTGTGTGTGTGCATGTGAGTATGTGTCTGTCAGTGTGTGTGTGCATGTGAGTTTGTGTGTGTCTGCTCAGTGTGTGTGTGGAGAGTATGTGTGTCTGTCAGTGTGTGTGTGTACATGTGAGTATGTGTGTCTGTCAGTGTGTGTGTGAGTATGTGTGTCTGTCATTGTGTGTGTGTGCATGTGAGTATGTGTGTCTGTCATTGTGTGTGTGTGTGCATGTGAGTATGTGTGTCTGTCAGTTTGTGTGTGTGCATGTGAGTATGTCTGTCAGTTTGTGTGTGTGCATGTGAGTATGTCTGTCAGTGTGTGTGTGAGTATGTGTGTCTGTCGGTGTGTGAGTATGTGTGTCTGTCAGTGTGTGTGTGTGTGTGTGTGTGTGCATGTGAGTATTACGTGTGTCTGCTCAGTGTGTGTGTGCATGTGAGTATGTCTGTCAGTGTGTGTGAGTACGTGTGTCTGTCAGTGTGTGTGTGTGAGTATGTGTGTCTGTCAGTGTGTGTGTGTGCATGGAGTATGTCTGTCAGTGTGTGTGTGAGCATGCGTGTCTGTCAGTGTGTGTGTGAGTATGTGTCTGTCAGTGTGTGTGTGTGCATGTGAGTATGTCTGTCAGTGTGTGTGTGAGTATGTGTGTCTGTCAGTGTGTGTGTGAGTATGTGTGTCTGTCAGTGTGTGTGAGCATGTCTGTCAGTGTGTGTGTGCATGTGAGTATGTGTGTCTGTCAGTGTGTGTGTGTGTGTGTCTGTGAGTTTGTGTGTGTGTGTGGTTCTGTCAGTGTGTGTGTGAGTATGTGTGTCTGTCAGTATGTGCATGTGTGCATGTGTGCATGTGAGTACATGTGTCTGTCAGTGTCTGTGAGTTTGTGTGTGTGTGTGTCAGTGTGTGTTTTTCAATGAGTCTGTCAGTGTGCGTGTGAGTGTCTGTCAATGAATGAGTGTGTCAGATAAGTGAGTCTGGCTGTCAGAGATGTCTGTGTGTTTGTCATTGAGTGTGTGTGACTGTCAGTGTTTATACACCCCTGACTGTAGCGTGGGCAAGCGGAGTGTACCGTGGTACAGGAACTTCTGTTTCCTGTACCTGGCAGAACTTACAGGAAAAACTCACTGTACCGGGATTCGCTCCGCTCAGCCACGCTACAAAAAAAAGGTAGGAGGCACACCAGGAAGGGGAGGGGACCACTATGGGGGTGGGTGGCGCACCAAGGGACAGGGAGAGGAGGGGAGAGATACCCTAAGGTACAGGAAAAAGAGGGAGGGGGGGAGAGGAACACTAAGCGACAGCCAACAGATGGGGGAGGGGAGAGGAACACTAAGGGACAGGGAAAGGAGGCGGGAAGGGAAAGGAACAGTAAGGGTCAGAGAAGGGAGCGGACCATTAAGGGATGGGGAGAGGGGCCGGATGTGAAAGAAACACACAGCGGGGCTTGAGAAGGAAAGAGACACAAACAAAGGAGCTGGGAAGAATAAAAGACACAAATGGGCTGGGAGAAAAGGAGTCACACAAAGGGGCTGGGAGGAGTAAGACACAAAATGTGGGAGGATGTAAGAGTCATACAAAGAGGAGAGATAGGAGACACACAAAGGCAAAAATAGTAGATAAAATACACTAAAGGGAGTCAGATATTTAAAAGACGGGATAAGAAACACAAAAGGGAGGTTAAGAGGCACATGGGTGAAGATGTTTTTGGGGGGGCGGAAAAATGCATCTTCGCCTATGTACCCAAAATTCTTTGCACCGGCCCTGGGTATAGGGGGTAATAATATGAACGGAAGGGGTATGGGGGGGTAGTAATATGAACGGAAGGGGTATGGGGGTAGTAATATGAACGAAGGGTATGGGGGTAGTAATATGAACGAAGGGTATGGGGTAGTAATATGAACAGAAGGGGTATGGGGGTTAGTAATATGAACGGAAGGGGTATGGGGTAGTAATATGAACGGAAGGGGTATGGGGGTAGTAATATGAACGGTAGGGGTATGGGGGGTAGTAATATGTATGGAAGGGGTATGGGGGGTAGTAATATGAAAGGAAGGGGTATGGGGGGGTAGTAATCTGAACGGAAATGATAGGGTAGTAATATGAATGGAAGGGGTAGAGGGGGTAGTAAGTGTCCCTAAATGGCAGTTAGGAAATGTGGTCACCCTAAGTCAGGGCAGCCATTAACATGTGGCAAAAGGGGCCTCTGCCCACAATAATATGCTAAAAATG